TGGAAAAGTAGAGGAAATGGAGTGGCTCTTTCTTCCAAGGCTGTTTCTTTCACAGACTGACTCAGTCACCGTGCTCATGTTGCTTCAGTGTTCTGTAAATCCTTTGGTTTTTTTTTTTTAGGGATCTTCCTTTTATTTATTTATTATTTCTTCTTAAATGGAGAGATGAAGTGAATGCTGAAAGACGAAGATACATTTCCCAGTGATAAAATATTGAAATTCTGAAGTGCACCTTCTAGTTCTTCTGGTATATCTGTTTCATTGTGTTCCCTTGGTGTTATCTTCTAAAGGAGCTTGTAGTATTTCAGGGAGAGGCTGAGGTTATTGTACCAGAAGATTTTCCTGTTGTGTGCTTTTCACAGGGATTTGAATTATGAACATAATGTTGTGGCTGAGTTTTGGATTTAGTGATAGGATAGCAAGCAATGCTATCTAATTTAAAAAACATTAAGAAAGCTGTGTGGGAAAAGAGATGGAAGAAAACTAGGCATCACTACACGCAAATCTTCAGCCAAAAATTCGATCCTTCAGAATGACAATTCTTTTACTACAAAATAACAGCCAAATTCTACAGCTTTCCATGAGTCTTTTGAGCTGACATTCAGACAGAACAACAGCCCATCCTTCACTGGAGAAAATTAGACTGAAAAAGAAGGATCACAGGCATAGATTTTTAGTTTGCTCTGGAAAATCTTGTGTGCTCAAAAGTTCTGTATGCTTTCCAACTCCTTGTGTATTGTCAGCTCCAAGAATTACTCCCTATCTTGTATTACCTTTAGAAAAAGTTTTAGCACTATATATTTAGAGTTGTGCCTTCTAGCTTTAACAAGCACTCTTAGTGCTTTCAGGGACTGCTTACATATGTAAGTGTTGGGCAGGAAATAAAGAGAATATTTAAATGTCATTTTGGTAGTCCCAAAATGAAAAGAAAAGCAAGAAAAGTTGGAGCTTAGGTGGAAATATAACATTTTGAGAAGAGGTATTAGAAGACGGCACAGATTCTGTGTAAAACTGAGTATATAATTTCTTTCCAAATTAAGCCATTGACACCAATAAAACTGTTTCTACATTTTATTATTATTATTATTATTATTATTATTACATTAAAGCACATTGAGGAACTCTGTGAACATTTTGAAATTGAAAGATCATAGCAGTCGGTAGCTGGATGTTTGGCACTAACGATGGACATGTAGAAATATCGCTTGTTTATCTGTTGTGAAAGCCAACACTTAATCTGTGTTCATATTATATTTTATGTGAATAGGCAAAAGAAAAATCTCCAAACTCTGTAACTAGCAATAAATGTATTTTAATTTAAAATCAGATCTGTTAGTGTTTTTAACAACCTTGAAAAATGTTTAAATCCAATATTACTGCTCAGGAAAGTGATTTAATGAATTACATTTTTTCCCAGATTGTGCTGCATAGTTGAAACGGGGTGTGCTTGCTGCTGCTGCCAGTGCTTCCAACTGTCACACAGCAGGGCTGCTTCCGAGAAGCAGAGGTGATCAGTGGGTGTTGCTGCAGTACACGACTTCAGTAACTGATTCTGAGAGAAACAGATAGCAATTCCCAGTCAGTGTGCACAGAACTCTGATGAGATCCGTGATAAAGAGCCACAGTCTTAAGGAGAATAGTTTCCTCGCAAGCTTGCATTGGTCCTGTTAATTGAGAATCAGATTCTGCCTTAAGATCTGAAGTGAAGTCTCACAATGTCTTTAACAGAATGTGTGTGCATGCATTTGAAGAAAGTATTAATCCCTGCATCTTCCTTGGCTTCAGCTTTGCCTTTTTCTCAGTAGGGTCACAATCTGTCAGTGCTGGAGCAGAGAAGTGTATTATGCAGTTCTTGTACTACCACTCTGCTCAGAGGAGCTATCTGAAATTGTCACCTCCTTACTCGTCATTTCTGCTCTGTCTGTAAAGGTCAGAGCTGCTTCCTTCCAGGGCAACAATACGTTTCTGCTGCTTCTTATTCCTCATAGCTTTGCAGAGCCTCTGCAGCTCCAACAGGAATTCGGGTTCTGTCCATCTCCACGTATCAGTAGTAGGGCTGTTCCGTCTCTCAGTGATGTTCTGTATTCTGCAGTGATGTCAAAACTGTTCAAGTTGCTATTCTGATTTTCACACTTGAACTTATAGAAAGGACAAAATGTATTAGATTTTGAAAAAATAGCCCCTAGGCAGTATTGAAAAAAGAATTATTAACATTACCAGGACAGTATTATTTTGTTTTCATCTTTTAAATTTTGTTTTAAGAGTTTCTCATTATCTTCAGCTTTGGTCTGAGAAAGGAGCAGGACCACTTTCTGAGTCTTATATGGTGCATGGAACCTCCTTAAGGTTTGAGACAAGGACTGATTTTCAGTTTTCTCTGAAGTAACGGTCGTCTAAATTATTGTGAGTTATTGACATCATCTTCACTTTCCCTACAAGATATTTGGGGTGCAGGTCATTGCACTGAAGACTGCTTTAGATCATTAAGGATCACAGAATGGACTATCACAATGTTGTTCTCTGACAGCAAATAAAAAATCAGTGTATGAGACAGTTCTGTGTTTCATTTCACACAGTGTTTCCATGAGGGCACTGTTACTCTCTCATCATTCCTAATGACTGCAGCATGTTGAGTCATGGAGTTGTTTTTATAAAGCTTTTGCTTTGTCCGTTGTTTGTTCTCAAGGTTACATTATACAGAAAATAAAATATATATTTTTTTCACTTGTCCAGGCTGTGTAAAAAATATTTGTAATTATTTTATGAAAATTAAAACAGCTCTGCTTTGAGTAGGAGGTGGTATTCCTGCTTCAAGCGTTCCTAACTATAAGGAACTGCTGTTTTTTCCTCTGAGAGAAGGTATAGATTGCGAGTCATGAATTTGAGATCTTTCAAAATTCTTCGGTGCTCTTTCATTAGTAATGTTATTTAGCTATTCACCATGAATTGCAAGCCATTAATAATTATCAGAAGGCAGTTTTGTTGATTAAATAATTTTGAAGATGAAAGGGATTTCTATTTTCGATAGGTGAGAAAAATCAGGGTAAAAAAATATAAGGAGGTGTGAAGAGAGGAAAGGACAAATTTCTTTTTTTTTTTTTTTTCTTTTCTCCAGTGGATTTGCATTACGGATAAGAATAAGCAAGTGAGTTCAATTGAAGACATTGTAAACTACTGTTTTGCTTTGATTGAAACTCTGCCCTACTGATGATTTTTATTGCTGTGCTTATTTTGTTTTTGTTTGTTTCAAAGCATGGGGACAGCACTATTTGTGCTTTTGCCTTCATTTGGAAGGCCTTGGTTTTGAAGATTCAAGTGGGAAGTATGTGTTAATTGCAGAGAGGTATTAGAGAACTTACTAGTCAGCCAAGCTGGTGTTTCTCGAATCTTTTGTGCACTTAGAACTTAAGCACTCAGATGTATTCTTCAGTAGTTTGCTTTTGTTAAATGCTGGCAGACTTCCATTCAAGAAGAGACAAAGGATGCTTGTTCTTGTTCTTTCCATTGCAGAAATTACAGGGCTGGTTTTTTCCTTCCTTTCCTTCCTTTCCTTCCTTTCCTTCCTTTCCTTCCTTTCCTTCCTTTCCTTCCTTTCCTTCCTTTCCTTCCTTTCCTTCCTTTCCTTCCTTTCCTTCCTTTCCTTCCTTTCCTTCCCTTCCTTCCCTTCCTTCCCTTCCTTCCCTTCCTTCCCTTCCTTCCCTTCCTTCCCTTCCTTCCCTTCCTTCCCTTCCTTCCCTTCCTTTCTTTTCCTGGAATAGCAGCTAAATGCGGTTAAGTTCAGCAGTAAGGATACTAACAAGAAATACTTATTGTTTTAATAGTGTTCAGGTGTCTTGTGGAAAGGATTGTTGAAGTCATTGTGGAGTGAATTTTGAGTCTATCTGAAACAGCTGTAACTTCTTGCTTCTAGAGAAGAGTAGGTATTTAAGGAGGAAGACTGAGGTCCATCAAGTGAAAGGTCTCTTTTGGTCAAATTGAAGAGTGTAAAAGAAGTTTATGAACAGCTGCTGAACAATCGAAGTATCTAACATAGAAAATCTTAGTTTCTCTGAAAGGGCTGTATAAGTTGCCAGGCTTTAGAACCTGTGTAGGAGAAGGGCTCTTACCAGATGGAGAGGGAAAGAAGGCTAGAAACATCTTTGTTTATGCTCCAAATATCCACTTAACTCCACTTGGAGTCTGTATAGAATATAGTTTTTTCAAATATTGGCTGATGCCAAATAGTAGACTTTTTTTAATTGCTACATGTTCTTAAAAGAGGAAAAAAAAGGTTGTGTACACACAAGGAAGCTTTCCAGGTACACAGTTAATAAAATGCTGCTGAGCATTGTGGTTTGATTCATGTTATTATGCTTAGGATTATTCCCGTGTCAGATCTGTCCGCACAAGATTTACTGATGATACAGATGTTTGTCTCCACTTCTGAGGGAGATGCCTGACCCACGTTGAGGTTTACTGTTGAGGCACAAACGTGGTCTAAACCTTCGATGAAAAAGTTCCTGACAGTGTTTGCTTGTTAATGTGAAACTAAAATATTGGTTCATTTGCAAAGCACTGTGGAACAAAGGAAAGAATAATTAAGTTTCATATGAAGGGATTTGAGTATTAACCCAGGATATGAAGTACGCATCTTTCTTTGTTCATCCTCAGATTTATTTTGCCGCCTTTCTTTAAGACTTCCTCTTTTGGGCTTCTTCAGTATAAAATGGAAGAAGTAATGCTATCCTAATTCATGGAGATTTTTTTTCAGGATAAACTGATTGCTGATTATTAACGCTTGCAGTACAGTGATAATGTGAATGAAGAGGACTCTTGTCTGCTTGCCCACCAGAGTGGCATAATCTTTTTGGAACAGCATTAGTTACAAGTAACCAGCATACACAGTATTTTAGTAAAAATAGGCAAGTGTCTGTAGAAATATATTTTGTTCTTTCAACTGTGTGCAGTCAAAGAAAGATTGAAATGAGACGCATTAACAAGCTCTTCTTTTTCCTTCCTAGAATTACAACAACAGCTGCTTGTATGATGGACCTACGGAGATATCCGCTGGATGAACAGAACTGCACGCTGGAGATTGAGAGCTGTAAGTACTTCTGCAAATCCTACTTATTCTGTGGTCAACTGCTTCAGACATTTTTATTTCCGTTTATTTATATATTTATTTGTTTTATATGCTACTAACCTAGTTGTCTCTGTCTGATGACATTTAGATCCTTGTAAACACATGCAAAAAAAATAGCTTTCCAGATGGATTAGTAATTTGTGGCACAAGGATTAGCAAAAGTTATTCTGCTTTGACAGTTTTCAGCTTTAAAAGTCTCATTCAAATGCCTTGTTGGAGTTCATGTGAGGAGCATGAGGATTATTATCAGTTCTTTATCCTCCCTTACAGCTGAACTATGTAGCAGCTTCTTTCCATTTATAAATGATGGCAAAAGGTTAAGACTGTCTTTTCAATAGGTGTGTTATGATTTGTTTGTTTTTCTAACCTCTCTGTGTTTAAGCTTTCAGTGCATTCAGTGCAACTACTTATATATTCTGATTTCACAGCTGATGTCTCTATCAAGATATCCATGTAGATAAAACTTGTGTTGTGAAATAGAATTTCAAACCTCTTTTCACTGAATCTTTAGCAGACTCTAAGTACATCAAGTCAAAACAATTCATGTTCATTTATGTGAAGACAGCACTGTGCATGTGCAATGCTTGATGCTAAATAAGATTGGATCAGCAGTTTCAAGATACATGTCCTTTTTCAAGGGAACCATATGTAACAGATGGAGTCTATTAGTAAGTTGAATGGAGCACGCAAATGAAAGGTAATGGCATTAAGATACAGTCCACAAAACTGTATTTAAAAAATACCATACGTATTTTAAAAGATTGTATGGGACTTTTTTGTGTATGTGTGAGCAAAGTGATTGCAGCTTGTGTAGTGGTCTGAAAAGAGCTTGGTATGGTTGAACTTCTTTTTAGTGATCTAGAAAGCATTTAAGAATATGATTTAAACTCAGGTCTAGTTTTCATTCATTTAATGTAATTTAAAGATATTTCAGAATCTCTTTCTGGATTGCACTTGTGACACTGCTGTCTCATTTACATTCATGTAGTAAGCAAAATAAGTCTTTACCATTAAAGTTTACCCCTTCTCTAGAATGAAACATACAAACATCAAATGTGATGGACTTTGCTCTTTTGAGAAGGAATAAAATCTTTGGGGTTTTTTTGCAGTTGGTTATATCACTTATATTGATAGCATTTGATTTGGAATTTTATACTTGCAGCCTTTAAAAATCAGCCTTTTACGCTGATAGTGTGTAAAAGAATTTTGTGCTCATACAACTATATTTAGGTTTGGAGAGATTCTTGTATTTGTTGCACTTGGTATGAAACATACAGTATTCATTATAGCATTGAAAAGGAGGATGCTTAATTTCCCATAGCCATTAGGATGCTTATAGGAAAGCTCCTCTGTGGCTCTATCTCTTAGCTCAGTTGTAGCATTACAGCAGTAAAGTGGATTTAAAACAGGATACTGTGTTTAGCTGGCCTGCCTTTCATTGCAGTAATAAAGGTCATTAAAGAATGTGGATAGAAGTAGTGCTTGAACTGCACTTTGAAAGAATTTCATGCTGCTTTAGAAAGTTATTACTCTTTATATGTGTCACTCTGTCCAGGTAAAAATCTGAATAATCTTTATAAATTGCTTCAGAGAAAACGGTAGTAGGTAGGTAGAGTAAATAAGACTGAAAGTGACTTTTGAGTCATTTTATGCAGATACTCAAGTCATAATCACTGATTAATCTCAATAATCTCCATGCTGAAAGTAGCTTATTTTGTTGGCCTGCTGGTTCTGTTGGACACTTCTTTCACTAGTGCTTTCTTGTGATGGTTAGAAAGACTCTAAATTCCATGTCAGGAAGCATAAATTGTATTCACTGCTCATGTCTGCTGGCCTTTTTTTAAAAAAAAAATTATTTTAAAGTTAATATCTTCCTCAGCTCTGCTGTAGTTGTTATGATATATCTAAAGAATGTGGTCTCCTCATAAGCTTCATATCATAAAACATGCACATTCCTGTTCGTTTTAGCTTTCTCATATAAGACCATTCTGTTATTTTATGTTAAAAGAAATGCAGAATTAGCAAATGCTAGTTTCTGCAGATGCTGTAGTTTATCATTCTTCTTTAGGAGCAACAAGTACCACAGACCATGCTCTAAATTCTCTGTTGCATTATGGCATTTACCCTGCCCTTTGTCATCAATGCGGTCCAAGAGCCACCTTTACGTTTTTACACACCTGCATAACTTCTTCAGATACTAGCCTTTCCTGGAACATTATAGTGAGTTTTCCCTTCCTCACCCATCTTCCAGCAGTGGGATTTAGCTCTTGGTGGAAATCTTTTTGCATATTCAAAGGACGCACGACTTAATATTTTATAACACTCTTCACGTAAATCTGCATTCTTAATTTAACTACAGACCTCAAAATTCTCCAGCTCTTCCTATTTTTTTTTGTCTGTACAGTGCTTTCAGGTCTTGTTTCATTCACAATTTATTCACACAGAAATGCTTACAAATATTAATGATAACAAAGACTTACGTTGCAATCATTCTCTATACTGAGCATTAGCTATTCTTTTACATTTTTTTACACATTATTTATCAGTCTTTACTAATTGTCTTCTCGCAGATAGCCCCATATCAAACATTTTTATAAAGTACAGGTTAATTGTACTTTGATTGGAAATGCAGAAAGGATCTGGCTAGAAAGATCTAGCTCAAAACCCTTTGGGGTTTAGTCATGATAGATTTTTATATCATTTCCATGCTTATTATTGTGTCTAATGCCCTTCCATTCTTTCCCTTCTTCCTTTATCTCTACTCCTATTATTGATGCCAGTTGTCTAGCTTCTTTTTAGATGCCTGGATTACTTTTTTTCTTTGTGTAATTGTAGTTACTGAAATATGGGGACAGTATCAATTTTTGTTAATGTAGATTTCCGTAGATCTAGACTAATTCTCAAGTTAGGAATTATGGTAGAACAGGGTTTTATATTAAAGCAAAAACCTAAAATGGGAGAGGCTGTATAATTTGTTAAGGTACGAGAGATGTTACTTTACCTGCTTTACTACTGGGACTAGATGTTGAAAACATAAGAGAGGATAATTTTTGTTGGTTCAGAGAATATCAGTTTTGAGAGCTTTTTTTTTTTTTCTTCAAATAGGTAGTTTGTTTCTCTGTGATCATTTTTTGATTTGCTCAGATGTAAAACGGGCCAAAATATGTAGAATGCTTGGTTTTCCTTGGTTTTACACTTCCAAACTTTTACAGTGTCTTTTCTATAGTGGTGTAATCTATCCACCCTGCATTTCTTTTCTTATTTCCCAACGCACTAAGTTGCAGGGTTATAATACCAGAAGAAAATCAGTTTTTCTCTGCATTCATTTCATAGATTCCCAACTTGGAGACAGCAGAGATCTTGTTCTTTTTTGCTTGTGTATTGACTTTACTCAGTCAAATACTCTCCTTTTTGCTTCCTATTTCAGCCATTGTAGTTTGAAGGTTTGTTGAATTTCTGATGATGCTCTTGAAAAATTTTCTCTATCTGCTGCTTTTCTGAAGGAAAAAGCAATTCCTTAGCAAATCAGTTAAAAGACTAAAGGGAGCTAAAAAGCAAAAAGTAGTATTAGGAAGTTGGCAGAACATTGCCTGGTATTCATAAACGTAAATAAAATATCATGTTGCACATTCTCTAGCATTACAGAGAGAAATGACTGTGATTTGAATGTTTTCAAATGTAATTATTTTAGATTCATCTGGTAAATTTGGACTTCTGTCAGTTTTCATTACATAGTGACATACAGCGATGTTAAAGTTTACTTCAGTTTTTTTCTCTCATTTCATAATGTCTTTGGCACAGCTATATTTATGTTATATTGGAGTATAATTCAGAATACGCCTGCTGTGTGGCAATGATATTTTACGTTTCTTTATTGCTTCTGAATAAACAAGAACACACTGAGTTTCTTTTCAGAAATCTATACTCAGAAACATTTTCCACTGTGTGCTGAAGTTTTGCCATTGAAAGAAACATATTCTACTGTCTAAAGCCAAAGCAAATGGGGCACTTGAAACCGGGAAAGTTGGCAGCATTAGAACAGCATGTACAGCAAGGGAGGAAAGACTGCTTTGGTGATGAATGGAGAATGATTGTTTTGGAGACATTTACTTAACAGCCAGGGATGTTTTGATCAGAAATACCTTACAGATCACATTTTTTTTTTTCTTTCAGTATGATGGCAGAAATGCCACAGAAGCACGCTAAATAAGATTGGTTAAAAACTTCAATTGGGTAACAATCTAGAAAAAGGCAGGAAGAACCACAGTGGAAGAATATCGTTCCTCCCAGTGGCTGGACAGCCCGGTATCAAACACTTTCTAATCAGGCTCTCTGAACGCTCATCTCAAAAAAGAAAACAACAACAAAACCATTCATTTTTGTGCGCTCAAGGTGACTTTATAAGCACGTTCAAAGCACTGAAAAGAAATTGAAAATACTTCTTGTTGAACTACTTTGGAGGTGGCTGATCTGGCCATCAGTCAAAGCTATAATCAGGTCACATGGGACAAAGGGTACAACCCCAGGAGCCGACCAGGGTTTTGGGTTAGAGGTGGATGTGCCTGATGCTGAGCAAGAGGCTCTGCTATTCCTGCGGGAACAGGATGTTTAGTAGGGGAGGCTACCAAGAGAGTATATCACTTTGAATATTTACATTGCAAGTAGAAAGCTGAATGCATGATGAATATCATTGAATGGCCACTGAATATCAGAATCTAAATAGTTGTTCATTTATTACTCTTTTCATTTATCAAACCTAGCATGTCCCCTTTGTCCCTTCAGTTAAGTAATTTTTTGCATAGCAGGCATTGTACAGGATCACATGCTTCCGTGAGTAGAAGCTGACCTCATTATCAAAGTGCACCTTTTTTCCTTCTTGATTATCATTTACATGTTGAGATGTCTTAATGTCGTAATTTGGATTGTAATGTGAATTCCTTGGGAAAGGTACTACAGACTGTATTTGTCCACAGTAATTTCATTTCAAGATATCAAGGAGAGAATAAAAGAGGTTTAATTTTAATGGTGTGATGCATACTGGCAATGATAAGGTAATCTGTGACTTCATTGTGTAGCTGGAGTGATTCAGTAAGGGCTAAAAAAAGTACCAACAAAACTAGCACATGATTCTTCTAAATAGTATGAAGAGGGTAAGAAAATTTAGACTAACAATCAGTGTATATGACTGGGGCAGGTTCTATGCAAGTGAACCACTTTTTGCAGTGTTTTGATAACTGAGTGTGAATAACAACCACTGGGGACTTTGGTCACGCTTTTCAGACAGGAATTAAAGTAACATCACAGGTGTATTTTTCCTGTTACATTATGGTTATTCCATAAGGAAGTACTGTATCTTATTTTCTTTATTTCTAAGTACATCCTTACAGCAGTCTACATCTTGGAAGCTCTCATAACAAAAATGAAAGGCTGTACAGTTTCCAAATGAGCAAAGAATGATACAGAAATTCTGTACCAGCTTCTTAATGCTCTGAAGCAATCTGGAGTCAAATTAGAAAAGCAATCTAATATCCAACCTATGCTTATCAGCAAGGACAATATAGACAATGTAATTTTCCATGAAGAAATTCATAGCTTGAAGTTCATTTTTATATCATTCCACAGATAAATGTAGAAAATATATAGAATCATAAAAATTCAGAGACAAAATGCAAATGGTTCTAAAACTTCTAAAGCATTTTGCCTTTCCTAACTAGTCTGAGCTGTGGTATATTTTTCCTATTGCACTTAAAAGTGTGTTTTATCAAGGGATTCTGGAAATGAAAAGGACCCATTTTCAGAAAACCCAATTTCATTTGCTAAAGGATCTTGAAAATGTCTAAATGTCTATGAAACCATTCTGTAGAATGTCATTCTAGCATCTTCTCTGATAATCCTGTATACAGTAAATAATCTAGAATAATGCAGAGATGATGGATGTGACACTTTACAGCCCTGTTTCCAGAAGTTATGAATTTTTCAAGGTAAATGTTTGCTTTTTTTCTCAAGTGAGTAGTAGGATCTCTGTTATACCTTCACATATTTCAGATAGATATTTTTTTTTAACCGGCAATTTGTTTGAAATAAGCAAGTATGAAAAAAAAGCTGTGTTAGAAGTACTTCATAGCTGGTCATGATGTGTATCAAAATTAAATGCAAAGACTGTTTTTATTACTGGAAATTTCATAAAAAAATGTTTTGTAAGCGTATATATTTATCAAGGGATGAATATCTTAGTAGTTGAGAGAATCATGAAAAATGTAGTTTCAATCATATATGTTTTATCAAAGGACGGGTTACTTGCTGGGATTTTTTTTAGTTTACTTCTTTAGGCTCGTAATTTAGGTCTGTTGTTTTGAATGTCATTTTTAATAGGGGAAAAGAGAAGTTATTAACAAGGTTATTAGTATATGCTTATATTTAAAGATATATTTCTGGAATTATTCAAGATGGAATGGGCAAAAGGGGTCTCTAGTCTATCTTCTGCTCAAGACAGGGTCAAGTTTGAGATCAGACTATGTTTCTCAGTATTCTGTTCAGTCTAGTCTTGAAAATCTTGGAAGATGGAGAATGCAAAACCTCTCTATGCAACCTGTTCCAGTGTCTGACCTTTTTAAAAGCGAAGATGTTAAATTACAACTGTAGTAAGTGACAACCACTAGATGAGGCTGCCCAGGATCCCATCCAACCTGGCCTTGAGTGCCTCCAGTGATTGGTCATCTACAACCTCTCTGAGCAGCCTGTTCCAGCATCTCACCACCCTCTGAGCAAAAATTTCTTCTTAACACCTAACTTAAATCTCCTCTCTTTCAGTTTAAAGCCATTCCCCCTTGTCCTATCACTATCAGACTAAAGAATTGGTTCTCTTCCTGCTGGTACTTCAAGTACTGGGAGACCCCACTGAGGTCTCCGCAGAGCTTTCTCTTCTCCAAGCTAAACAAGCTCACCTCCCTCAACCTATAGGACAGGTGCTGTCGCCATGTGATTATCTTCATTATGCTGCTCCAGACCTGCTCCAACAGCTCCACATCATTCTTGTGCTGGGAGCCCCAGTCCTGGACGCAGTACTCCAGATGGAGCCTCATGAGGGCAGAGTGGGGGGGGAGGGTCAGTCCCTTCTCTCAACCTGCTGACACCCCTCTGTTAATGCAGACCAGGATACTGTTGACCTTCCGGGCTGCAAGCACACACTGCTGGCTCATGTCCTGCAAATCCATCTCTGCAGGGCTGTTCTCAAGGAGTTTTTTTTCCTCTCAGCCTGTATTCGTATCTGGGATTGTGTCAATCCATGTGTAACATCTTGCACTTAGTTCTGTTAAACCTCATTAGACTCTCGTGTGTCACTTTTTGAGCATGTCCAGATCCCTCTGGGTGGCATCTCTCCCTTCCACTGTGTCAACTCCACCACTCAGCTTAGTGTCATCAGCAAACTTCTGAGGGTAGACTTAAACCCACCAATTATGTCATTGGTAAAGGTGCTGAAGAGTGCTGGTTTAAGACAGACCACTGTCTGTGTTCATAACTGGTCTTTATCTGCACTCAGAACTGTTGACAACAATTCCATGGCTAAAACCATCCAACAAATTCCTTATCCACTGAAGAGTTCACCCCATCAATTTGTATTTTTCCAATGTAGAGATGAGGATGTGGTGCAGGACCATGTTAAAGGCATTGCACAAGTCCAGGTAGATGACATCAGTTCCTCTTCCTTCGTCCATCAGTGCCATACTCCATCATAGAAGACCAACAGATTGGTCAGGCACAGTCTGCCCTTGGTGAAACTATACTGGCTGTCTTGGGTCATCTCCTCATCTTGCATATACTTTATCATCTCTTCCAGGAGGATCCACTCCATGATCTTCCCAGACACAAAGGTGAGACTCACCTCTCTGTGTCTTCCTTTCTCCCTTTCTTTAATGTGGGAATATCTGAATCTTATTATGATTTAAAAGCTCTCGAAATAAGGATTCTTTTACTCTGGAATAACGAGAAATTTCAGGAGAACATCTGACTGGGTAAAAAGTTTCTATTTGTATGTACATTTAAAAGGCAATTTTTTGTGTTTTGCAGCTGCACAATGTATAAATCATCTTTATTGTGCATGGAGTACAGGTATGGATAGTCTGTTCTGCAGGAATGTATTGCAAATAAATTTATAGCTTAAAATTTATGGTATGTCATATATTCTTCAGCAGCAGAACAATTGGCTACCTGTATTCAATATCATATGATTTTGGCTCATCTTGTTTGGTTGATGTAACAAGAATTTGAGAAATTGTGAGCCTAGGCAAAAATCTTATATGGTAGCTTATAGGGCAACTTAGCAGGAAGAACAAAAAGAAAGAAACAAGGAATTGATGCAAGTCATTTTTAAGACATAAAAATATACCTTTTCACTTTAACGCTGTGTGTGAACGTACTGTGCTCTGGATAAGATTACAGAATATTGCAAATATCTTTCAGTAGTAATCTGCAGTTGTCATGAGTGGAATTAAATACCTTGCTGCATCTGTTGTATGTTATTGAAGGATGATTATCCAAGGATCTGATGGTTTCTGAATAACCCATTGAAATTATTTCCTGGTAAAATCATGGATCTTATTCTTTTCTCTGAAGTAGTTAAATGATAGCGCGTATTAGAAATGTATATTTATTCAATAGCAGGCACAGCTTATTTCAAGGGAAAGACTTGTGGGCTGTTACAAGAACTAGCTTCATTAAAGCACAGTATATTCACATATTTTACTGTACAGAAGCTCATCTGTACACATCTGATGCTCTCCAAGAAAGCAGGAATTTTCTTCCTCACTGCAGCCTGGAATGATCATGTCTTTTGAACAAGTCACTTCTGGAAGACTGACGTTTATCAAAATGTTACACAGACAACCTGAGAATGAAATGCTGGTAAGTTACATTTTGCTTGTGAATTTAGTTTCTATTTATTATTATTAGTAGTAGTAGTATTTGAACCTCTGTAACCTGTTACATGAGAGGTTTTCTGTCGCTGTTTTGGGGAAATTCTGTAAAGGCTCAAAGAACAGTAGATTCTTTTTTATTATTATTTTTTCTTCTGTTTACCAATTGTTCCTCTCTGTCTTCTTTTCTATGCAGAGCCAAAATGAATGGATATCATCAATAATATCAGTAAGTAAGTCAGAATGGTCCTAGGGATGATGTCAGAAGCCTTCTCATTCTTCTTATACAACTAACACAGTATGTGTGCAGCAGATAAGCATCAAAGGGATGGATAACGCCATCAGCATAATGCTTTTACACTGTAAGTTTATCACTTCGTTATGGCTTACTTGGTGTTAGTGGTCCCGTGTGCGTATACTTAGGAGTATTCTTTTCCTTTCAGGTTTCAGGAACAACCTTTTGCAAGTCTAGAGGGACCTACAATCTTATTAGGTAAATGCATGATAACTTCTCTCCTGCAAAATGTAGCCAGGTTCTTATCAAAGTTTGTTCTCTTGCTTGCCAAGATGAGCTTCTGCTCATCTCTGTTTTGTTTGTTGTTTCTTTTTCAGTTGTGGAAAGGATTAAAGAGGGTTTTACAGTTTTCTCTGAGGACAGAAAAATGTACGTCTTGCTGTATGTCTAAAATTTTTATTGTACCCTAAAATTTGTTACTATAGCCTTGCATTTGTACTTCACAATGGCATTTCTTGTACTGCTGGTAATACTATGGGTATGGAAAGCTTAGTTTCATTATAAAATTACTTGATAAAAATTTTAATTTCCTTTAAAAAAAAAAAAATAAAGCTCAGATTTTACTCTATGTCTGTGTGTTTCAGTATGTGCATTAAAGAATTCTGAACATAGTAAAGCATGGGAAACTTGAGAAGTTACGTGAGCCTGGGCAAAAATCTTACGTTAACATAACATGGGAAACCTTTAAGTCTGCTAAGACTGGAATCCCTGTCAGCTCCAACTCAAAAATTCCTCTTTTTATTTTGGAAGAGAGAAGTTGAATATTTTACAAATATGTGGCATCTGTGTTGTGCACATCATTACCATTTGTGCTATGGAGTGATGCATTTACTGAGTTTTAGTCATCTTTCTTCTTTGAAGATCTACCTTTGTGTAAATGAGCAGTATGCTCCTTTTTGCACACACTGGCATATGTACTAGCTCTTATTTGGCCTTGAGACTGTATTCAGGGCCACATTGTTCTGTGGCTTGATGCCACTTTGCTTTTCATCTTAAGGGGATACCAAGAATATGCTTGATAAATTAGGTCATTATGTCTGATGTAGATGGCATGTCCATTCTTTTTTACTGAACATTAAATTATAGATACGTGCATGTAGCTATCACTTAAAGATGGTTTTCATTGTTTTAATAGCCATATATGAACAGGCACCTTAACAATAGTCTCATTTTTAGAAAATATCTTTAAAATTGATTGCTTGTTACAAAAGCACATGTGGGACCAGTATTAATCTTGCGTTTTTTACATCTGGCACATAACAAAAACAGATTTGGGTCACAAACTAACTCTGAATGTGAACTAAAGTTGGAGGCTCTGGAGGGGTCTGGGAATTACAGGTTTGCAAGGTGGTGTATTAAGTGAAGGAATGTTTTAGGCACTGCCTATGAAATGTATAACCAGTTTGGTATTTTGTCTTAGAAGCGGATGAAATCAGCTATATAATACCTTTCCATGTCAGTATTTTTAATGGAAAAATGTGGTGTTGAGACAAATGTATGCTGAGACAAAACAGAGAAGATCTGGACATGTGTTGGAGATATATTTTGTCATGGGCTCCAGAATAGTGAAAATGATCATATAATTCCGCTTTTTTTGAAGTTTGAGATTGAGATTAGCAAAATGTAGCCATTTTCATTGTACAGTGGCTCTCTGTAATCTCATGGCTGGATGTCCTTTAGGTGATTCTAGTTTAGTGTTTCTTCAAACCCAGTTGCAAACAGGACAGAATTTCTGTGTGTTAGTATCTGATTTATTGTCTTTATTATGAAGTGATATTAATGATATATTTAAGTAAGATTTGATGCCTGGAGTCATGCTGAAATTTCTCTTTTTTTTTTTTTTCTGGGTATGAAATGTGCCATTGTCAGAGGAAAGATCTCTCTTGAGAAGTCAAGAGCAGTTGCTCCTGCTAGAATATAAGCCAATACCTCCAAATCAGCTGAGCCATTCTGACCATGGAAAAACCAAACAGTAAAGAATAGAAAAGCGTCATCTTGAATTAATACAGTAGTATTAAGATAGATGTGTTTTGTATACTGGCATGATACCGGGTTACATAGAAGCCGTGTGATTTTGTGAAATGATTTGCTCCTATAGGGAAAATACAGTCCTTTTGAATGTAGCATGTTTTCTTTAAATACAGGGATTTAGGCAACCTAGAGCAGCTGCTTGTTTATGTGTTTTGTTTTTCTTTTTTTAAATCCCCGTTTCCCTTCAGGGATTTGGATGATTGTAGAAAGTATTTAAGCCAGAAGGTAGAGTAAAGCTCACTGGGGAAACTCCAGCTGGGACTGAAAACACAGCACTGTTGGTTCCACATGATCATGAGTTAACGTTAGGCCACTTGACCAGCCAAAAATGAGCTCAGTCTGTTAGAAAGGAGGTAATACCTTCTTTTAAGTGGTGTTCTTAAAGGCCTATCTTGCAGTTATGAGAAATATATCTCCAAATTTTCTTATTTTCTCATGAATATAGGCTATTTCAGAAGGTGTCTGACCTTCGAGGAAGTAAGCTCAGCTATCAGCTCAAGTGCTATCATCCCTGGTGAGTAATTCTCACTGTTTCCAAAGAAAGGATAAATGTAAGCCTTCAATAATTATGAAGATGATGAGTAGGCAAGCCTCTTAGTTTGAGCTTTCCTTATCTAAATTATTTTTCCAATCGTGATAAAAATATCAAAGTATACATTAAAAATATCTGAGCAAAATATCAGAATCGGTTGCACAGAGGAAGATAATTAGCAGATAGCATGCATTTCTTCTGACAGAGTCCAAGAAGAAGGGCAGATGAACTGATCTGGAGCTCTACATTCTTTAACCTGGACTATTTTCAGCCCTTTGTTAATCAGTATCTGTGCACTGCATTGCGACTCTGCAAAAAGGAGAATCTAACAGTAATTCAGTGTTGTTTTCTACCGTGTACATGGGACATTAAGGTTCTGACTTTACTTGTGATAGAAATGCCTCATACTAGTGTAGTTTTCCATTCAATATGGATGAAGATGTGAATGATATAGAGATGCAGTCCAATAAGGTCCAAAAGTCATGAAAATCTGGCCCAAATTAACAGTAATTAAGAACAACCTTTTACTGTGTATAAAAGATGTCCCCATCTAAAGATGTTATTGCAACTGGAACAAATGGTCTGAAAGTACCTTTCATGAGCTGAATTTTGCTTGTAATATGTATTATTGCTTGTATGTGGTGACAACTACAGCCTTTCACAAGTACAGTGCTATTCCAAACACTTGTATGAGAATGGGAAAATACTGAAATTTAAATCAGGGTATTAAGGTTTTACTCTAGAAGCATTCTGCTGTATTCAATGTGGTATAGTGTGTAAATGATGTTTTTCTTGCACTGTCCATTCAGAGAGGAATTTGTGCAATCTCTTCCAGATATTTAACATTAGAGTCAAAGTTGAACTTTGAACTTCCTGCTGGAGAAAGCACTTCTTGGTGCTGCGTATCATCCTCATCATCCTCAAAGGCATACATCTACACTGGCTATATAAGCAGGTTCCCAGCTTCTAGCGTCTGTGCCTAAATGAATGAAGTTCTTTCCAGCATTTCCAAATACATCAACATAACCACATTTGAAAATACAGTGTTACAGTTAAGGGGAGAAAAGCAAAAATAAATAATAATTTATAAAACTATTTTGTCTGGTTTTCAGAATAAATGTAGCAGTTTGGTCGAACGAAAATATAATTTCACTTCTCTTTTCCTGTAACCTTCTTTTGGATGAGGAAATTGTTATTTACTGGGTGTCTGCAGCTCAGTTACATACTGTTGCATTTCCACTTGTTGAGGCTAGTGTAGAGAGATCTTGAGTATATGTGAAATTTCTGAGATATTTGTTTTGCAAGGATAGATATACTGGTTTATGAAAGCAGGAACAATGCACTTCCATAAATCTTGGTAATGGTTTAGTTTTTCAGCTGTAGGACATAGGTTCATTTCTCATCCATTTTCACTATCCTTATGTACTGCAGAACATATGTGAAAACTTGTGGTACTAAAGAGTGGGGAAAAAATGTTCTGTTACTCCAAGGCTATTTTAAGAAAGAAAAGCAGTCCTATTGGAATTGATGCCATACATGCCTCAGAGAGTACTCCCTCTTTTCAACGTGAATAAAAGCAAGCATCTCAGAAGACTAGCCCAATCAGTTTAAGAGTGATGTATGATTGAGATTGCCAGAAACAAGTATAAACAGATAATTTATATATAAAATAAAGTATTAAACCTGTGGTTTTATCACCTGCTGTGACACTTCCTTTGTAACAAGCAGGAATTTTCCTTCATTTGCCTTTTTTCATACATTTATGGTTCATTACTGTATTTCTAGCACTCAAAAAGTGGTTTTTAGAATCTTACTGCAAATTCTCTGCTTCAGTGCTCTGCATGTTTCCCTTCCATGATTTTGTAACTGTTTTTTTTCTCTGGACCCAGGTTTACTTTTTAAATTCAGTTTTCATTCTCTTTCTTTTTACATGGCTGGTATTAATTTCTCAATCTCTTTTACTAAAGAATCTCTAAAGTTCTAGGTTTATAACCTCAAACTTACCAAGAAAACCTGTTCTTGATTATTTAATCCCCAACCTACTGCATACAGAGGAACAGGTGACTTCACCAGCTTTCTCAGGTATAAGAGAAAACTGGAGTAATCACAAGCCTCTTCAGGAACAAAAAATGTCTTGCCACATATCTGTAAAACTCCAGCCTCTTAAAGCATCTAGATTCTTGCAAACTTCTATGAAGTTCTTATGGACTCACAGCCAGTGAATTTGGTAGTAACTCCTACAGTGTCAGGATGGCTGAATAGCACTTGCTATGCTGCTTTTGTCCATCTATTGTAAAGCAAGTTTTCTCATTTTCCCGTGTTATTCCTAGACCTGTTTGTTACTTTAATTCCTTAAGATCTATAAACTTGAAGCGTGTTAAATATTTTGTGA